TTTAGATCTTGATCTGAAAGGTAAGAGCAGAGGTTTCTTAGAACCTTACAGCTTTTCTCAGGGGGAGGATACACATGTGCTGGACAGAAACAGAAATGTGAACAACCACTACAGGTTTATGTTTTCAAACACCTCACAAAACACACTGCTTCCCACACAATTTTTCCATGTCATGGAACTATTTCCTCTAACTACCAGAAATGTAGAATCCATTGCTTATTATGTGCTTTGGCTCTGTTCTTCTCATTTCTTCACAGACTTCATTTCCAGAACACTTACAATCGACACGTGAGTGGTTCTGCAGTTTATTTTACACCTCCTTGAAGTCAGCATTTAGAAAGGAGATACTAAAATTGTGGAATTTCTAGAGAAAGGTAAAGTGATCTGGAATCTTGCCATGAAAGTGTGAACACTCCCCTGAGCATATGGTACTGAAACACAAAAACACCTCTCCCTGGGAAAAGCTACTTATTTAACACAAATGTAACATGCAGACTTGCAGTGAATACAAAATCCACCTATCACAGCTTTTATTACCCCAACTTGCTTCCAATTTAAAGGAGAAAAATGCATCTAAACCAAATATGTGCTAACTTACGACAATAAATTTAAAATTCACTTTAGCCAATTAAACCTCTTTACACCTTTTTCTTTGGGTTATTCTAATACAGAACACACACTTATTCCAAAAGGTTTTGTGATTCCAGCTTCTCACTATTTCTAGAGTACCACCAACCTGCTTATTCTGTATACAGACTTCCCACTTATGGACTTCCCACCATTTTACAGTAGAGCACAATTATAACACTGCCTGCAATTATGTCTGAAGACTCCATTAACATATATTGAAAGGAACAAAACCTGCAGTTTTCACACATTTCTAGAGCCAGGAACACAAGAATACCTGTTCTCTGTTTTCCTGTTCTTGCTTGGACTGGAGGATCGAGACCGTCTCCCTCTACTCCTGCTCCTCGAGCGCCTCCTCTCCCGGCTCCGGGAGCGTCTTCTCTCTCGGCTCCGTTCCCTTTCTCTGCTCCTCGAGCGTCTGACATGGAACAAAATTGTATTTATTTACCCCGTGATCACAGTATGACTTTAGTCTGCTACTGAGGAACAGGCTGTAAAAGGAATCCACCAATCATCAAGACCACTAAGAACTTACAGACTCCAGCACCAGCAGCTAGAAAGGATTTAATAAGCAAAAAGCCTTGAGCACAGTGAAATCTATACAACCATCAGCAAAGTGACTGATGAGAGGGAAGAACATCAACATCCAGCTGACAGGCACTTTGATCTACTTGGACTGGAACTCATGTCCTACCTTTGGCGCTTTCTGTCCCGCGACCGGGACCTTCTCTTGTCCCTGCTGCGGGACCTCTCCCGCCTGCGATCCCGATCCCTGCTCCTGGAGCGCCTGTCCTCACGTTTGCCCCTTTTGTCCGACGGGGAACGACTCCTGGAGCGGCTCCCGGAGCGCCCACGGGACGCGGAGCGCTTCCGATAATGCCTGAGACACAAATTCACAGAGGTGAATGTCAGCACAAAAACCATTTGCACTTTAAGGATATTGATCATATTTAGGTGAACAAGCAAAAAAAAAATTATCTTAATTTCTCAGAGCTTTTAAATTTCTAAACATTTGTAACAGTGTCCTGTCCCACCCACCGCTGCCCCAGCTCATTTGGAGCTAATTAGATGGATCTCTGGGAGTGCCCAGCTCTGCACTGAATCACTAATTTGAGTTCAAGCCGGTTGGTAAAATTTACACCTCTGTCGGTGTAAACCCCCATTACGGGTCTGGGGGCTGCGACGCCCGCGTGCAGGGGCTGCTGTGGCAGCTCTGGAGTTAAAATCCGATGGTTTGATCAAACTGGGAAACAGAGACGTGCCCGACAGCACCGGCACGTTGTGGGGTCGGTGCAAAGCCTGAGCGGTGTGAGCAGCTCCAGATCAGCCGGAGCACACACTCACAGCACTGCCGGGCTGGCCACAGCGCCAACCAGGTGTTTATACCGGCTGCGATCGGGCAAAACGTACGTGACCCTGCAGAAGCTCAAGAAGCACAAGGAAAACGTCTAACCCACGTTCGAAGCGCTACGTGGCGAATCACGCCTTTTCAGAGCAAGCCCGCGAAGGCCGCGGGGGTGCTCGGGACAGCTCGGGCCCACCCAGCGCCGGCCCCGCGGCCCCTCAGCCCCGTCCCGGAGCGCCGCGGCCCCAGCGCTGCCCTCACACCGGCGCCGGGCCCGGGCCCGGCCCCGCCGCGGCGCCCTCAGCGCCCGCGCCGCCTTTGTCCCGCTCCGCGCCCGTCCCCGCGCCGCGCTCCCCGGGCGAGCCGCGCTCCCGGGGCGGGGGCAGAGCCCGCGATGCCGCCCCCGCTCCCTCACCTGGACTCGCGGCCCATGGCGGCGGCGCTCCCGCTACACGGCGGCCGCCATCCCGCGCCGCCCGGCCCCGCCCGCGCCAGCGCCGCCCCTTCCGCCCGGCCCGGCAGCGCCCCCGCGGCCGGAGGGCGCAGCGACGGCGGGACCGGCGGCACAGAGCGGGGAGGGGGGACAGGGCTCTGGGAGGAAACAACCGGCCGGAAAGGCACGGAAAACAGAATTACGGACATGAGCAGAATGAAAGCGGTTCGCTTCTTGGTCAGAAGGGCGCTCTTGATCGCCCTTTCTCCATCCAGCCCCTCCTGGAGCTGTGCCCGCTCACCCCACGGTATGGAGCTGATTAGTGTTAAAATTATGATTAAACATCCATTGCTTTATGCAGGTCTTGGTACACGGTGTTTTTGCAATTTATTTGTATCACGTTTGGGCATATAAATAGAGAATCGGGACACGTGTAACTTCGGAGCAAACTCATTATTTACATATCTCGACCTTAATTTCCATTTGCTGAAATTCC